GGAACTAAGTATGGGAGTATATGCAGATTTGAATGTGATTATGGTGCTGTTCTCAATGGAACCAAGGCGGTCAGCTGTGAAAAGTCCTCAACTGGGAACTTTGCCATGTGGTCATGGGGTTCAAGCCAATTGCCATTTTGTGATGGTAACATACCTTTATTATTATTTCTTTTAACTGTGATTTTGACATTTTGAATTACGAAAAAAAATTATGCTACAAAAATACAAACTTTAAAATCTCTATTTTGTCGTCTTTACAGTTCTTATAACATGTCCAGAAATTAAACAAATCCCAAAAATGGGGCACTTGTGTGTGACAATTGGCTCGGTGGGCAATTCTGTCGAATGTTTTGTAAGGCTGGCTTTGATGTTCAAACAAATTTTCGCCTAGAAGATATGTTAGTTTGTGGAATGTCTTCAGATAAAATGAAACAAGGGAAATGGCTACCCGTTGGATCTCTTCCGTTACCAGACTGTGCAAGTAATAAAAAAATAAAGTTTGATAAAATAATGTATTCTTTTCAAAGTCACCAATGTTTTTGACATATCTTTGAAATACTCAAACTCAAATAATTTTAAATATTTCAGAAACACATCATCCAACGGGTGGAAGGCTCGTGATGCATGCAAATTTCTATTTTGCTGGAGATTGTACTGATGAAGCAGTAATTGAAGAGATAAAAAAGAAGTTTATCGAAGCTTTCAAGGAATCTCTTTATCAAGATGCCTGTTTTATCAATGCAAAAGACTGCACAGTTCAAAACGTCAAGGTATTACATATGTTGATTAAAAAAATAAAACATGAATATTAAAAAAAAATGAAATAGACCGAATTAAGACCTTTTCTTTCTTTCCTTGAATTGCACCAGGTTCGATGTGGATTAACAGAAAGAAAAAGATCATCTGATATTGGAATAGATTTTGAGATTATCGCAGAACTGGATTCAACAAACTTTGAAGAGACATTCAGAAATTTTAGCCAAAGTTCTTCGATCGTCACGGAAAAACTGAGAAGAAATGAAAAAGGAGGGATATTTAAATTTAACTCTTCCAGATGGAGGTGTATTGGTACCCGAAGATTTCTCTGCACAGGAGGTTACTTTGGCTTGCCGCACAACACAGTTCCGTCGTTCAGGACCGCTTTCATGTGGTAACTAGACATTTTCACTTAAACAAAGGGAAAAAACTTGAAATATTATCAATTACGTGTACATGTACGTTTTGATTTTAGCATTCATTTGTAATTTTTTGTTGATCATGTCAAAAATTATACCGATTGTTATGACCAAAATAGGATTGCAAATTGAAGTTTTTTGATTGATTATAAACAAAACATCTTTTAAGCGACAGCTCTAAAATGAATTGACATGTTTGATTGAGACTTACTTTATTACAGTTGAATGCGCTCCAGGACATATTTTGACAATAAGACCAGGAATTGTCCCCTTTGTCCGAAGGGCCATTATCAACCAAGCACTGGTCAAAATTCCTGCATAGTATGCCCACAATTTCAAACAACGCGTATTAAGGGAGCACAAAATTTGGATGAATGCAGGGTTCTATATTTTTTAAAAGTACTTAAATTACTTAAATTTACGTTATGAAATAATCTTTAAAAACAAAAAGGATTAAAACTCTTTGAATCAAAATACAATAACCTACATTTATCAAAGTAATTGTTTCTATGTGTTCTCCTGTAAGATATTTTGGTTACAGTTTACCTTTCAGGTGAATCATCTAAAATAACATAAGTTAAAAACTAAATGGGCTGAAAAGTTTTCAATTCTTACAGAGGCATGTGAACCAGGTAGTTGGTCGTTAGATGGCACTCCCATATGTTCTTTGTGCTCGGAGGGATCCTATACTGAAGAATATGGCCAAGACCAATGTACAAAGTGCCCTTATTCCCAAACTACACAAGACGAGGGCTCAAAAACGTCAACTGATTGTAAAGGTTATACAAAATGGCGTCTTATTCAAAACTTACAGCTTCGGTATTTCAGTCTTAGTTTAATTATTCCATTTTACATTTATATTCTCCATTTGCAGATTTTGATATCGTGTTATTGCATAACACAAGCACAATAAGAACAGAATTTGCTGCTTCCAAAACGTTTGTGAAATTTATTTTGAAAATGTGGATTTATATTGCTGGTGACGAAAGGTTAACATTAACTCTAGAGAATCAAAACTCTTCAATAGACCTCAATATGATCGGGGGTCGGATCTCTGAAACAGGGTAAGATATTAAAAATCATTTTCTGATGTATTGTTCACATTAAAATATATTCAGGAATATATGTAAATAAATATTTTACAGATTAGCAAATGATTCTACCATCTACTTGGAAGATAAGTGGCATTCGTTAATTTTTCACAAAACCGAAGGAAATTCTGTACACGTCTATCAAGACGGAATGTTTCGTTTCGACCTGGAGTCAACCTTTGTCCTTGAAAAAGGAAAAAATACAATTTATGTGGAAGGTATGATACAATATTTGCTGTACGGTTTTAAAACGATTTTTAATATTATACGTGGTCTGAAGTTAAAGTGTTTTGTTTTTTTAAAAATATAATTTGAAGGTAAAGGTGAAATTTCACAGCTACAAATTTGGACTGTCACTGCAAAGGGAAAAACTATGTCTCAAATGCTTGAAAGTGGAAAATCCTGTTTTAGTAAAGATTACGGGGATGTGTTGAAATGGAAGCAGTTCGAAGAATTACATTTTGAAGACACTTATAAGCGGACACCTAGTGAATGTGATGGTAAAGTGGTTTGTATAAAAAAAAATCGGGCAAAGGGACAATCAACGTGTTTCCATGGCGTGTTTATCACTTTTGCTTCTCACATTTATATGCATGTATATGTACATGTATCACGTTACCACACTTTTAAAAGACAAATAGATATCTGTCGCACTATCTTCTTCCTTTAGCTTTTTTTTTTTCATTTTGAGCAGTACCTAGCACATTTCTTGCATTAAGACTGGCGGTACCTTGGACATGTGGAAAAGGGTTTTTTAAAATAATGAATGGGATATTTTGACCCCAAAATGATAATAATTTCCTCCTACATATTACGACAGAAACTCATTCATATTTTAAAGAAGTTTTAAACACTTCAAACTAAAGAGCTCTATTTATAGGGTAGTTTTATGCAGTTAGAGTGATCTGCACTTAGATTAAAGAAATTCTTATTTACAGTTAATTACTTGATTTGTTATAGATTAAATATTTTTAGCATTATATAAGACCAAGGGTTAGAAATGTACATATAATTGATTACTAGTATTTCGTTTATTTTCCCAATGTAAGTGAACAACATTTATTTCTGCTCACAAATAGTCCATTGTCTTTGAACATTTTTCCTGCTCTAACAAGGCAAGTACCCTATGTTCTAAATGAATGAAAAAAATTCAATATGCATATCTTTATATGATATATTTTTTTCTGAGTCCAAAAATAGTTTCTGTTAGTGTTTAGAGCTTCCTTAAGATCCCCTGAAATGAGGGTATTATTTTAACTAAATTCCTTTATATATAAGGTACGGCCGGTGTATCATCCTTTCCACTTTCAGAAATTACATCAGAGTGAGGCTTGGCTTGTCTAAATACGGTTACCTTGTTTTTGCTTATTGCTATGACAATGCCACAAAATAATGCTTAAACTATACATAATTATCGAAAAAAAATTTTTATAATTTGAAGAGCATTTCCTTAAAGTTTGTCCATCAAATCTTTATGGTACATAGATCATTAATTGTTACTTTTCTAAATATATGTAGATTTTGACGATTGTCAGTCAAATCCTTGTAAACATGGTGAATGCAAAGATTTGATGGATACTTATGAATGCATTTGTTCCTATGGATTCACTGGAAAAAATTGTGAAATTAATAAGGATGACTGTCAAATGAATGTATGTGAAAATAATTCAACTTGTATTGACGGAATTGGTAACTATACCTGTAGCTGTCCAGGTGGCTACAAAGGCACGTTCTGCGAAATTCAAGTTGGTGAGTAAATTTTGTTCAGAAAATGTTTTTTTTCAAATGAATACATGTGCGATTTAAATTATCTATAATAAAATGATTAAGTTGATGGTTCGTGGAGAAGCTGGGGTGAATGGTCGGCCTGTACCGTGACTTGCAGTAATGGTACACAACAAAGATCAAGAGTCTGCAATGACCCAGCTCCGAATAACGGGGGACTGGACTGCATTGGTGACAATACAGAAATCCAGAGTTGCAATGACAATATATGCCCAGGTAGTTTAATGACATATTAAGTTCTGTTTCAATTTTGCATTCAAATCAATAAAACTAATAATGCATGTTTTATTTTTCAAATTCAGTTTGCAGCCAGTTGATAGTATCAGAACATGCTCTCTTAGACTGTGTTAACGATACCAAGAACTTGAATTGCACAATTGAGTGCGATAACGGCTATGATTTTGATCATGAAACAAAACCCTTTTACCTTTGTGGCGAGGACACTTTCTACATGTGGGATTTCCAAACCGACGACAATCCGGACGGGAAAACTCCCGTCTGTTCTGGTAATGAGTAGTAGGCGAAAGTATCTTTAAAAAGTCGAAAAAAATGTAAAATTGAGAAATGTGTTACGAAGCGACAGAGAGTCCTAGCCATGAATACCTCTTTTTAAATTCACTATAAAGTTTACAATTTACACTTTACTCTTACTACATTTTTTAATTGAAAATTTATAACGTGTAGAGTTTTACTCTTTAATTGTAAAATGTACTCATTAATCTCTAAAACTCCATGTAGTATATTGACGTTCACCTACTCTGTTTAATTTACATTGATATTTCATAGAATATCTATGCAATGATGATTCAGCATTTATTTATTTTCAATTCAGAAATCCAAGAGAGCTCTCAACTCGGTGTTTCCTATTCAGCCTTTTATAAAGATCTTGTTTGTGACCAAACATTTGAAACAATACGTGAAGAAGTGAAAAATGTCATAGATAATGGTCTACGGCAGTTAGACTGTTTTCAAAAGAGAATATGTTCTTCTGAAAATACAACTATAACGCCATGTAAACAAAGAAACAAGAGATCGATAGGTGTTGAAAACATTGGGTTTTCGATCACGATGAACTGTGATCCTAAAATATGTAAGTTTTTTCCTCACTGAAATGAATTCATATGCGCAATGTCTTTTGTAATTTTTACAAAAAACTCGTTTTTGATATATCTTATGTTTCACAGATAACTCGGACATCTGTTACACTAATCTCGTTACATCTGTAAACAACTTACATGCCTTAGCCATCAATCATTCATTGGATATTGAGGTAAAAGGCGAGCAATTTGAAATAGACGTTGAAAGAGCCAGTGCAGAAAGCGGAGTAAAATGCCCCGAAGGATCTGCAGCCATCAAATTCTATTGTGGTAATTCGGTATTTTTCATATTTCTATATACCGGTATCCCTTAAGGTAGTTTCCTGTTTGGATATAGGAATGTTTTTTCGACTTAAATTATTAAGTGGATTTGACCGAAGATTTGAAATAAATACTTAAATTTTCTGTATAACATAATTATTAATATGCTGTTGGAATATTTCACATGGAAATATAATAAAAGAGTGTTCGAAAACTTTTATTTGAAAATGATTAAAATTACGAAAAGTATTGATGTCATTCATTTGTTTGAGAAACAGTAAGAAAAATTTGTTAATACGAAAAATTAACTACATAACAATTTCCAACGATAAGTTATTGTAAATACTGTATGAACGGTAGATAGCAGTTAGAATGTGTATGTAAATGTATGTCAATTACAATACTTTGTAATCTTGAATATAAAAAAGAAAAATCAAATTCCTGCTGCCTTACAACTACATGTAATGCAAAATCATTTTAAATAAAGGTTTACATCAATTCTATTTTTGATAATTATGTATTCAGTGGCGTAGCATCGTTTTTGAAAGTGGGGGGGGGGGGAAGGGCAGCCAGAGAATTTTTTTTTACTTACCTGAAAAAGTTGACAAGCAAAAAAAAGGGAAAAAGTTGCCCAAAGTCGAAAATCCTATTTCGTGGGTGGGTGGGGGGGGTTGGGGGGGTTGGGGGGGGTGGTAGGTAAACATTTTTTTTCTCAGTGTCAACTACTTTTATTACCGATTCTAATACTACATTTTCCGTACATCACTAAAAGTGAGGGGGCCAACCAGGCTTTCAATTAACATTTCCTATAGTACAAGTAAGGTTGGGGAAAAAAGTGTGGGGGCCCCCCTGTTGCTACGCCCCTGGTATTTTTATGAAGTTTTGGTGACTTCACTCGAGTATGGTTCTGCCTTAAATACTACATTATTAATAAGTGCACATGTTGGTTTCATTACCATAGAATATGTTACAAAATGTAAAATCATGTTCCATAAATAAATAATTATATAAAATCTATATCCCGTGATTATACTAGATGTAGTACTTATTCATCGAATGCAACTATATTAAAGATTCCCCTTTCCAGTTAAATGTTCTCCAGGAAGATTCTATATAGACAGTACCTGTGAGAAGTGTGACTTTGGTAGTTATCAGGAGAAGGAAGGTCAACTGTCGTGTACAAAATGTCCAGCTGGGCAGACAACTCCCGGAAGGGGATCAAGACACCAACAAGAATGTTCTTTAAAGAAAGATACTAAAGTCAATGAAGGAACATCCCTTTGTAAGTGAATAAGAAGTTGGTTTCCTCAATCATACTCATATACATCTATCAAACAACTACAGTGTAAAGAACAGTACAGGAAAATACTTCTTTTATAAGATTTATCATTTCTTTTCCAGATATGTTGATTATAGTTGGAGGGGGTATCGCTGTTTTTATTTCATTGCTATTTCTGGCAATCAACTGGAAAAGGAGGTAAAGTTTATAAATGTACATTGGTGATGCGGTTTTAAACATTTCTTTTATGACATTGAAACTATACAAAGTCTGAAAACGGTTGTTTATCTTCGTTGTAGAAAAACAAAAAAGTACTTCCTAAGGTAATATGATGACTAGATATAACTTTTAAAAGAATGACGCAGAAAATTGCTTATTAATAAAATACGAGGGTTGTCCCAAAAAGTAGTAGACAATGTATATAATTTTTTAAACACGCAACCAATAATAACCAAATTTTGCATAGACATAAAATATTCAATAATCTTTGAACTTGTGAATTTTTAAATATATATCTCATATTAATGATACTGGGACAATTTATATGAAGACCGATAAGGCCTGTCGGCGCATGAACAAAATTTGGAATAATCAACGCATATAACTATTACATTTGCTTCTATTTCTTTAGTACTACATGTACGTAATACATTGAACTCAAATTTAAATCACTGAAACTAGAATCAAAATCTTAATGATATGTCAAAATTTCATATAAATTGCTATAGAAACAGACGATTGGTGTCATGATTTTCATAGTATCGTTGGAATGAGTTTGATGAAAATGACGTCGTCAAACGCGTAACGGGAGCAGGGAGCTGTAAAAAAAAATTGTGTTGGATATGGTTTACATACATCAGAGACGGGAAAAAAGAGTACAGAAGTGAAACTATACACCAGATTTTGATAAAGAAGTTATTTTTAAATGACACGATATTCAATGAGAGTTTTCCTCTATGCCGAAAATAGTTATGGAATGTAATAAGTAGAATACTGTTTGTTAAACGCAGAGAATTGGTAACAATCTTGATCGCGACCGATGTCAAACAATGTGTATTCTCTGTTGCCTACAATATAAGGCAATCTTTTGACTAAATTTCGACTGAAATTTGAATCTGGTTAAAAAAAAACAAACAAACAAACGGACCGTAGTGAATTTAAATAAGTCCCTTAATCAAGAGTAATCTTTCGCTTTAAAAAGTATATTGAATGTTAATAGACGCGAGTGAAGTAGATGTAATTTACGCTTGCTTTCGTGCGCCGGTGTACACATACATGCTTTCTTTATTTTTACATAATTTTCTTATTAGATGTGATATCATCATGAAACTTGAAATGCATGATCATAAAATGTTACTTTTTGCTATGACAAGGGAAAAAAAATTAAATTAAGCAAATGGGAACTAAACTGTTTTCCCTGTCTACGACTTTTTGGGACAGCCCTCGTATATATATCTTGATTTTAAACATCTTTGCATGAGTCGAATGTTTTGCTTAATATGTAAGTGAATTGTATGTTATTTGATTTTATTGGAAGGTAAAATCTATATATTTAATATGCGTATCTCCTTTTCAGTGAAACACTTTCAAAAGCAGAAAACAGACAACCAGCACTTACTAGCAACTTCCAACTACAGAGTTTTTGAAAATCTTATCGCGTCATGTGCAATTTTTGTCCCATGAAGCTGTTGTATACAGATATATTTTCGCCCCCTTTTTTTCGCACCTTTCGCCCTCTTCATGGTTGAGCGAATTTAAAACAGGGAGAATTCAAGATACACAGCATAATTTCTTAAACAGAACTATGACTATAGGCGAATTTAAAACGGGGCAAAATTGTTCGCAAGTGCAAATGGGTGAAAAAAGCAAAAGGCGAAAGTAACCCCGTGTATAGTATTCCCGTGTATAGTATTTCTAGCCCTTTATTTCTTTTATTAAATAAATTAAATTTTAAATTAATTTTTATTTCTGTGTATGAATAGTATGGAATGACTCTTATTGAAATTTAGAGATAATAGAGAGTTTCTGTCAAAAGTTTTTTAAACAATGCACATTATGCGTAAATTCAACAAGGACTTCTGTAAACAGAGATAAAAGCAGGTGCCAATTACATAATACAAAGTAAATATATATATATATGTTTTCTCTTTTTGTCCACTCTCGAAAATATGAAAAATAAAAAAAAAAAATACTGACTGTACAAATTTATACATATTTTGTTGATGATTTTAGTGGCTCAAATAGGGAGAGAAAGTGAAAAGAGAATATATAATAAATAAAATTAAAAATATTTCTGTGAGCATTAGTTTAGTCAATGTACATGTAAAGGTTTTCAATTTATGTTACACATCATGGGAAAAAAAGAAGATTTTTCTATGTTCTGTATTCAAGACAAAACTTCCCAAATGTAGCAATTACTTTTTTTAAAGGAATAAACAGCATGGTTAAATGTCTTGAAAGAAGTTTTAAGACATTTTTAAGGAGAAATTAAATCGACTTAAAATATTTTTCTATGAGTTTGAATTTAAATATATCTAATTTTACATTATTTCTCAATTTTTTGGTCGTAAAAGCATTTGAAATTAAAAGTGAACAAGCTAATTCAGAGAATTCGTGTCCTCCGCTTCGGGAAAAAGTCGGATCCCCCTGACTGAATTTGTAGAATTATTAAATGTATAGATGTATACTGAAGCAAATAAAATACACATATGTCAATATGCATATAAACTATAAAGATTTGATTGCTTATTCTTTATTATGTGTATATAAGATTCTTTTTATATGGAATATTTCTCACACTGTAATGATGATTTTATGAGTTTGTAGAAACCAAACCTCATAATTTTTTCATTTTACATGCTGAATACTTCATATAGTAAAACAAATTAAGTATTTCGAAAAAAAAAGAAAATGGACCGTCCGGGATTCGAACCCGGGACCTCTCACATATGAAGTGAGAGACATACCATTAGACCACGCAACTACCAACATTAGCGAAAATTATATGCAAAGATGAAGTCACATACATGTATTTATACATTCACGCTCGATATTGTCAAAATTTTACACAATGCATGGTGTCTAATTTAACCTTTATTAAACAATTCTAATGTAATAAGAATATAAAGTCCTCCGAGAACCTGATTTATACGTAACAACTCTCCTCATGCCCCTGCGCTAAAAATAGCGACATGTAAAACAATAAATACTAATAAAACAAACGGGGCGGGACACTTTGAGAGGGGTGAGAGAGGTCCTAGGGAGGTTTGGTATAAAATTACATTGCAAACGCTCAAAATCCTCTTGAAATATCGCCCGGAAAGGATAGTGTTACACACAGACATAATGTATAATTTTACGACCTTGAACTTTGACCTTTTGACCTCAAAATAAATAGGGGTCTGCCTTAGGCAACAGGGAGTTGTTACGTAAAATTTCATTGCAAAAGCTTAAAGGGTTCTCGAGATATCGCGCGGAAACGAAAGTGTTATAACAGACAGAATTTGCAAA